GTTTAATCTCCAAAATTTACAGGGAACTCATACAACTTAACAAAAGGAAGATAAACAATCCAATCAAAAAAATGGACAAAGGATCTAATAGACACTTTAAGAAAGAGGACATATAGAAGGCTGAGAGACACATAAAAACATGCTCAAAGTCACTAATTATCTGAGAGATGCAAATAAAACAACAATGAGATATCATCTGACACCTGTCTGAATGGCTATCATCAAAAAAATCAACAAACGACAATCGCTAGTGAGGATTCTAAAAAAAAAGGAACCCTCTTGCACTGCTTGTGGGAATGCAGACTGGTGCAGCCACTGTGGGAAACAGTATGGAGTTTCCTCAAAAAGGAACTCCCATTCGACCCAGTAATCCCACTTTTAGGAATATACTCCAAGAAATCAGAAACAGACAGAAAGAACATATTCATCCCTATGTTCATAACAGCACAATTTGCTGGTACAATAGCTAAGATTTGGAAACAGCCTAAGTGCCCATCAGCAGAGAGTGGATTAGAAAACCGTGGTATATTTATACAATGGAATACTACACTGCTATAAAAAAGAAGGGACTTTTACCATTTGCAACAGCATAGATGGACCTGGAGAGCATTATGCTAAGCAAAATAAGCCAGTCAGAGAAAGATAAATATCACATGATCTCACTCATTTGTGGAATATAATGAACACCATAAACTGATGGACAAAAATAGATCCAGAGATAAACACCGAACAGAAAGTCAAACTTCAGAGGGAAAGCAGGGGAGGGAGTGAGGTTAGTACTGGGGTGTAATATATAAAACTGTTCTCTTAATCTCTATGCTATCTTGCAACTTCACAAATAGTTATGGAGAAACTGGCTCCAAAATAAAGCTAGATATATGGGCAGAGACCAGATTATAAAAGGTTGTGAATGCTACACTTTATGGCATTATGTAAGGACTAGAGGCCGAGAGACCCCACCCATGCACAATTTTTTTGTTTTGTTTTGTTTTTTTTGTTTTTTTTGTTCATCCTCTCCGAAGGGTATTTTTCCATTGATTTTATTGAGAGAATGCAGGGGAAAGAAAGAGAGAGAGAAACACCAATGTGAGAAGGACACATGGATTGGTTGCTTCCTGCATGGGAACTGAATCTGCAACTGAGGTATGTGCCCTTGGCCATGATCAAACCTGGGACCCTTTAGTCCATGGGCTGATGCTCCATCCACTGAGCTAAACTGGCTAGGGCAAGAATTGCTTTCTAAAATTTAAAATGTTTAACAAATATTCACCATCATAGAATTTTCCATTTTAATTTCCGTTAGTTGAAATTCTATTGTAATTACCCAAAAAAAAGTTCTATGAATTCAGTAACATTTTCCAATGAATGTTCATGTCACTCAACATACATCTGGAAAGCAACAGTACTGAGAGCTGCGTCTTCAAATAACCCTGGCATGCACAAGGATTCATGTGCTCCAGGCAAACCCTTTCAGACCAGACCACTAGGAGGAAGGATGCAGCTTACAGGAAAGAGGGAAACCACTCAGAAGGATTTTGCCAACGTCAGTGGGCTTCCTGCAGAGTGCAATTCTTTCATAATGCAGCACCAAAGATAAGCACAGGCGGTGCCTAGGACATCCCTGAAGGATAAAAATGGGGGCTGGTGGAGAAGCAGACCAGTCGGAAGCAACTAGGGGAGGATTCGTATTCTGTTGCCAGGCATGGCAATGAGCTCTGCTGGCATCCCTTCAGCCCTTCTGCAGGGTGACACTGATCCTAAAGAATCAAACCCAGCGATAACAGGAAGAGCAGGTGAGCAGGGAGGTGGTGAAGTAAGTTAGCCTCTTCTGCTCCAGCCATAAATATTATTACTGTATTTAAACCTCAACCTAGGCAGGTAAGGTAACTCACACACTGGAAACGAGCGACTGATCAGTGCAATGAGCCATATACCCAGTATCCAATTTCACTGGTATTTTGACTGATTATTACAAGATATTTGAATGCCCCAAAACAGAGAGACAGAGGAAACTATTAGGTACAGAAAATTAAAAGGTGCTGCAGAGGAGGGCTAAAATTAAAGGGTCCGTGCTGCATGTTCTACCACTGCCATCACCCACTCCATGACCATCCTGAAATCAAGCTTCCCCTCGGCCTTTGCCTTCAAACCATTACATATTTGGTTTTAAACTAGTGTTTAATCATAAACCAGCTCTGCTACATTATTAATATTCCAAACAGCATTTCCAACCAGATAATATCCAACAGCATTATGTTGAATTACCTCAAAGAGTAGCATTCCTACATTTGTTTAGACTTGAAAACTAAACTAGCCAGAGGTTAAGTATAAATATACTATAAAGTACCTATGTACATTATGAAATAAATAAAAACAAGAGTCATAAAATGATAGTAATTGGCAGAATAACAACCACTAGCCCTCACCTCACTCCTTCTCCTTCCCTCCCAAGATGAAATAAATAAAACTTTAACTCTGATGTGGCAATAATACATTAGCTATGTAAAATCACAGATGGAGAGTGGAAATGCCAAGGGCATACTGACATGGACTCTGGTTACCATTCAAAATTTTACAAGGTTATTGGAGTTTCCTGACCTTGGATTATTCGAAGCTGTAGCTAAGAATAATGGTAGAAGATTATATTATAGATAATGTATTATACAATGTACTATTATAATGCATAGATGTCAATACACACACACACACACACACACACACACACACACACATGAATGACCCACTTATGCTTCAATATATATAAAGGAGAGTATAACAGAAAGGAAAAATGGAGCAAGAATATTAGCAAGCAAGAGAAAAATTTACACTATAATCTTCCTCACTTTCCAAAATACTTTATAAAATAGGCTTTGGAACCAACGTTTTATCTTCAAATTAGGGGTTCTCAGAGTTAGAGGTTGTGGCAATGAGAGAGTCGTTCGTTCGGCTTCTTTTGGCAAAAACAATACTTTAAATTATGTGTTTTGGTTTTAAAGGCAAAGCTAAGGAGACAAGTAAATCTGGACACTGAAAGCAAATAAACCTAAAAGGGAACACACTGCTGTCACTTCCAGTGCCCACAGTATAGCAAAGAGTTTGTAAATATATAAATCCATTTATTCACATATCTACCATAAACACACTACCTTGCTCCCTGTGACACTAGGAAAAAATCACTTATTTTAGTTTGATTAAGTATATTACAATCATGTATCAAAACCTTTAAAAAGATCTGGCTCTCTGCTAATGATGGACAAAACTCTAGAGATGCCACATCATTGCTGAGAAACACTTTCAGATGGGGTGGGAGGGGAGTGGGAAGATGAGCGCATTTACCATGCACTATATCTTTTATCACAAAACGCTTTTCCAACTTTTTAAAACAAATTTCTCACAGAAATCCTACCCAATTATGAGCAAGCTACAATAAACCAGGAATTTCCAGATTTTAAAAGTAGGCATACTAAAAGGAAACTATGTGAAATCATGCATAACCACAGATTTCCTGAAGCAAATACACAACGTGCAGATACAAACTCCACACGGGAGCCATGTGTGACCAAAAAAATGTCCCCATATGTCTTCCTTTCTCCCTCCCTCCATCCCCAACACTCAAATACAAAAAGAGTCATTTAATTTCTCTTCTAAAAGTATACAGAACGAACACTACTAATGGGAAATTACCTTTGGTAGCCCTGACTTTTCAAAGTTGATGAATGAGGGAAGTTACTTCTCTTAACTACATTGCTGGAATTTTTCCACTCTCATTTCAATTCAAAATACCGTGTTTATTCTTCTCCCAGCCTCCCCAAACTCCCCTTCACATCTTTCTAAGTCACCTTCAGACGCTCAAAGTTTCAGTCCAAAAGAGACACCAAACGTGAATTTCTTAGACTTCCCCTACTTCCTAATAGATAATGCTACTCACATTTCACATTCTTTTATTTAGAGTAAAAAAAAAAAATCTAACATTGAACGTTTATTCTCTTTATTTTTTCAACATAAATATATTTATTTCTTTAAGGACAAATGAGTTATTTTTTAAGCACTTTGCTTTGGAATTCTTGACAATGGTGTTTTCCGAAGGATAACCTTTAAACCTGATTTTCATGTTTAAATACTTTAAAACTTATTTAAATATAAATGAACTGAATACGAACTATTAAATTTGAACTAAATATGAATAAGCTAACACCTGGCATCAATCACTCCTAAATGACTTCAAGGCAGGTGCAGGCAACGACTTTCTAACAAGCAAATGATTCACATCTGCTGGGAAGACTTCCTGAGCATCATTTAAAAAGTCATCTTTTCCATCCAGTAGAATAACGGCTAGAAGCCTGGAGTTAACCTTCAACAGGTTAGCCCTAAGATGCTGATGAAGAAGACTGTCTTCTTTTTTAATAGGAAAGAAGGGGGTGGAGGATCTTGTCTCTGAGGCACAGCTGGGGAAGTAACAACCCTTCCCTGAGTGACCCCAGGATATCTCATCTCATCAAGGCAGACTTTGAATAAATGCAAGCCCTGACTTCCACCCACCCCACCCCCGTCCCATTCCCCAACCCCCATCCTCAGGGCTCTGGGTCCTCCCAGAAGGGCCACAGGTGTCTCCACTCCCCCACCAGCCCTCCCACACCACACGCGCGCCCGTGCAGGCGTGTGCGGCGTCTCCACATCCTCCAAAGAACAGCACCGGAGGACCCGGGCCGGCGGTGCCCAGGGACACATCCCGGGGTCCCGGCGCCTCCGGGGGCTGGTCCACAGGGATGCGCAGCCCCGGGGCCCGGGCAGAGGGGCTCTGGGCACCTCGGCGAGCCCGTCGCGGGGGAAGGCAGAGTGAAGAAACCAGAGAAGCATGGCTTCCAAAGCCCCCCAAAGGCACCCTCAAACCAGCCGGCTGCCCGACGCCCGGGAAGGTCCCGGGAAGGGGCTGCCTGCAGCGTCCTCACCCCGCGACGCCCGCGAACCCGTGCCAACGGGACAGGGGGACAGGCACTCACCTCTACCCATCTCTGGGCTTCGGCGAACGCGACGGCGCAGCCGGCCTCGCCCTCCTGCATGGCTGCGGGGACCCGGCGATGGTGGGGAGAGAGAGGGGCGCGTGGGTGCGGGGAGGGGCGGGGGTGGCTCGCGGTCTCGGTCTGCGAGGCGCCCGGGTGCTCCCTCCCTTGGCTGCGCTCGCCGATCGGTCGGATCTCCAACCTACAAGAAGCTGAAGATGTGGCTTTCTCCAAACTCTAGGAAACTCCCCGGGTTCCGCCGGGACGCGAGCAGCTCCAACAACTGCTCGGACTTGCAAAGCCGCTGGAAGGCGCCTGGCGCACGGCCCTCCCCGACGGCCCCGCCCCGGCCCACCCCGGCCGCCCGGCCCCGCTTCCGCCCGCCCCCCTGCGGCTCCCGGGCTCCCGGGCCGCCGCCGCCTTTGTGGGCAGCCCGTCTGGGCCGGGGGATGCCGCGGGCAGCCAGGGGATCGGGCCTGGGCCAAGCGCCTTGCACCGCAGCCCCAGCCCCACCCCGAGGGGACGCGCCCCCGCGCCCCATCCCTCCCGCCCGCGCCCGCCGGGCCGCCTGCCCGCTCCCGGGGCCGCTGGACACTGCGCCCCCGCGGCCCGCGGCCGCCCGGAGACCAGGAATAGCTGCACACAATTGCACACAATTGCGCCTTTCCCGGCCAAGAAACTTCCCCCGCAGGCGGCGCCACCCGCCCGGCCCTCCGCCCGCACCTGCGGCCCCGGCCCCGCGGTCCCCGCTCCAACCCAGCCCGCGGTCACGGCCACGGACCCGCGGCCCGGTGCGCGGGGTCCCCGCCCCGAACTCCAGGCCCTCCCGGCGGCAGGAGAGGGCGGTGGCCGCGCACGCCGCCTCCAGGTGGGAGAGGGCGGTACCTGCCCGCGCACAGCGGGTCGGAGCGGAGGGGATCCGGTTGTTCTCCCGCCCCCTGCCCCTTCCGCCCCGTTCGGATCCCAGGACCGCCCTCACCCTGAGCTCCCGTCCCTCTACCCGTTGTGGTTTGGGGACACTCAGGGGCCATAGGGTGACCTATCCCCCAGCGTCCCCGGGTAGGTGCACAGCGCCGGGTTGTGGGTTGGCTCACTTGGGTTCTTTTCACACAGAGATCAGATCCTAAAGGAACCTGCTCACGTGTCTTTGACTCCTGTGGAACCGCTCTCATACTACTGAGACCCGGCCATGGCAGCAGCCACAGGTGAATGGCAGCAACCTTAGAGGAATGGATTCTTCCCCTTTTCAATATATTTTATTGAGTTTTTTTACAGAGGGGAAGGGAGAGAGATAGAGAGTTAAAAACATCGATGAGAGAGAGTCATCGATCAGCTGCCTCCTGCACGCCCCCACTGGGGATGTGCCAGCAACCAAGGTCCATGCCCTTGAGGAAGAGATAGGAACATGGATCAGCTACTTCCTGCCAGCCCTCTACTGGGGATCGAGCCCCAAACCTGGGCATGTGCCTAACTGAAATCAAACCGGCAACCTCTTGGTTCATAGGTCTATGCTCAACCACTTAGCCAGCCACATCAGTCAGGCACTGTTGGCTATTTTGCTATGAATGGTGCCTTCAAGAGAAAGGGAAGCTAATGCTCAAAAGCCCGATGGAATGTAGGTTACAGATTATATAGGGCAAAACCCCAACACACCATGGGTTAGGGGGGGTTCCATCGAGTTGGGAGCTGATTGGTGTGAGGTGAGGTAAGGATAATGAATTACTTCTTCAGATCTGGAGGACAGCTCTGAGGTCTGTTTCTAGTGCCCCTGCCAGGTCTCATGGGAAAGGAGCCAGGGCGGACCTTCCAGCTTAGGACGTGAAAGATGTTAACTTTATCCTGGCAGAGGTCCAGACCTTTGGACCTTTAGGCCGGTCCCAGCTGATGTCTTCTGCTGCCTGGAGAGTCGCTGATTATCTGAGGGAAGGCTAGGTCTCTGAGGAAGGGGGAAGGAAGGGAAAGAGAAAGGGAGACAGAGAGAGATGATTTGCCAATCCAGACTCACATTTCCCCTGCTGATCCCAATATGTCTTTCAGAGCTGACTAAGTCAGACCAGGCTCCAAACAATGGCCACACATTGCATTTGGTGACATCTGTTTTTAACCCAGACTAGCTTCCTCCTTCTCCCTACCTTCTATTTTTAGAATGGCTTTGTCTTATAAAAGAAACAGGGGCAGCCTTCTGGATTTATTCTATGGTGTCTGCAACATAATTCTATTTCCTGTTATCTAGAAGTTAGCTCTAAAGGCTGGGTTACAACTCATTTACTCTTCTGAATAAAGACTTCATCCATGTTGTACCCGTTTGGGGTAATTCTTGAGAATGATTTTTATTTGTAGGTTTATTTTTGGGGATGACTTCCTGAGGATGTTTTTTATTTGTAGGTTTATCTTTGTTCAACCATTTTTTTCATTGGCATTCATCTGAAATCAATGGATTATTTTTTAGAAGAGCTGAGACTTGTTCTTGTCGAAATGCAAGGCCATTGACTGGGCCATCTCTTTGCCTCCTGGCTGTTTATGATCAAATGAAACAAAAAATAAGGATGAAAGGATAAAAGAAAATGTTTTCCTCTTTCTGGCTATTCGAGATCTATTCTGGCCGAAACCGGTTTGGCTCAGTGGATAGAGTGTCGGCCTGGGGGCTGAAAGGTGGCCGGGGTTCAATTCCGGTCAAGGGCATGTACCTTGGTTGCGGGCACATCCCCAGTAGGGGGTGTGCAAGAGGCAGCTGATCCATGATTCTCTCTCATAGATATTTCTAGCTCTCTATCCCTCTCTCTTCCGCCCTGTAAAAAATCAATAAAATATATATATATATATTTAAAGAAAAGATCTATTCTGTTAAATATTTAGTGACCACTTTATATATGTAAAGGGCTAGATGTTATAAGTGATGTAAAATTTGTTTTTAAAATTTGGCTACTAAACCTCATGTACTTCCAGTCTAGTAGAAAGACATTCCTCAATCTTCATGAGCGTTGTTACAACAGCAACTATACAGGTATATTATATTGTTTAAAGCTGCTGCTCTTGACTTGATTTATAGGTTTGGGGACAGCAACCCAGAACCATAGGAAGTGCACAGGCTTGGGAGTCTGAGTGACTACGGTTACCAAGTTACCAAACTCTCTGAGCTTTAGTTTCCTCATCTGAAAAATGTGGGAAATAATAACTACTTAAAGGGTTCTTATGAGAATTAAATATTACAGTATCTGTAAAAACTCCAGAAAATGCTGGCATGCAATAGGCACTCAAGAAATTACAGTTATTTCCCATTAGTCTCTAATAGTGATGTGTCAAATATGGATTTTTCCTAATGAATGGAAATTTGTTTGTTTGCTCAGATACTCCCATGGAAAGAGCTGCAAAGTACTGCAGATTCTGTTTCAAATCAGCTCAGACACGAGCCATTTCTCTCTTTGGTTTGAAAGCTTGCAACTCCACAGATCCAAATTCAATTCTTTGCCTCCTAACATCAGTCATTAAAGTGTTTTATCCTTCTGGAAACATGTATATAGAGACCTATAGGGAAAGGTAACCTGCCTTGGAAGTTTCAAAATATAATTCATAATAATAAAACATGAAGAATATCATTTATTTTCCAAAGAAATTTGAGATATTTTTCAACATTTAAAAACAGTACAGCTGTATAGGGAGTTGTTATAGGGTTAAGTGTCAGACTGACCTATTGGCCAAAAACTAGTCCCAGCTTAGAGAGCACAGCCCGCTTAGCATAATTAAGCTTGATTTTGCAACGCTCCCTAAATCTTTCTTCTTTTGCTAATGGGCTGTGGGGGGTGCAGCAAGAGCTGCAAAAAAAAAAAAAAAAAAAAAAAAAAAAAAAAGTGAAACTTACAAGAACATTGTAAATTACCTTGTTTAGCTCTGACTATAAAATAAAGGCTCAGCTTGCAGCCTGGATCTGTTCTGTGGTCTCAGCCAGACACAGAAGATCCACCTAGACCCAGCTTATTCTCTGTCTTTTCTTCATCCTTCAGGAGCCCCCCTCAGGCTTGCCAAACCCTTGGCTGTGCTGGCGCAGCACACAGTTGTCATATCCTTATCCATAAGTGATGAAATGAACTTTTGACGGGAGAAAGTGGTACAACGTTTAAATATACATATACTAGCTGAAAGCAGTTTGACTCAGTGGATAGAGCGTCGGCCTGCAGACTGGAAGGTCCCAGGTTCGATTTCGGTCAAGGGCATGTACCTTGGTTGCGGGCATATCCCTGGTAGGGGGTGTGCAAGAGGCAGCTGATCAATTTTTTCTTTCTCTTTGATGTTTCTAACTCTCTATCCCTCTCTTTTCCTCTCTGTAAAAAATCAATAAAATATATTTTAAATATATATATATATACACACATATACATATACTAGAGATAGCTGAAGAGTTGGAAGAAGTCACAGGATACTGGGAATCCTATATAATAAATGGATAATATGCAAATCGGCCTAACAGTGGAACGACCAGTCACTATGACGTATACTGACCACCAGGGGGCAGACGATCAATGCAGGAGCTATCAGTGTGTTCCCACAGGGGAGCACCTCTCAGCCAGAAGCAGGGCTCATGGCTGGTGAGCGCAGTGGTGATGGCTGGAGTCTCTCCCTCCTCCGAGGCAGTGCTAAGGATGGACTAAGCCTTCAGTTAGACATCCCCCAAGGGCTCCCAGTCTGCAAGAGGGCACAGGCCAGGCTGAGGGACCCCTTTCCCCCGCTCCAGTGCCTGAATCTCATGCACAGGACCTCTAGTTCTTATAATAAAAGAACTGAAATTTTCACTACAGTTAGTAATGGTTCAGAAAAGTGGCAGCCTTTATGAGTTCAAAGATAGCCAATATCTGGATTTCATGTATACTTCTCATGCTTATATAATAAATGTATTAATAGGAATAATAATTCCAGAGGTAGAGAGAAAAAATAATAAGTATAGTGAAAATTGTCTTGGTTTGCCGATGATATGATCTTATGTAGAGAAAATTCTAAAGACCTCACAAAAAAACTTAGAACTAAATAAGAATTTAGCAAAGTTGCAGGATACAAAGTTAACATAC